TGTACCTGGCTCATCTCTCTGCCCTTCCCGCAGACCCTCGTGGCTTCCATGGCCTGCAGTGCACAGTGGCTGGGAACTGGGCAGCCGGGAGAAGCAGTATTAAGGCTTCTTTAGAAATCAGCTTACAGGGAGGAGCTGGCTGTCCTCATTGGCTTGTGTCCACCTGCTCCTGATGGCCCAGGGAGGCTTAGGTGCTGTTGATAGGGAGTTCCACTGAGTCAGAGAAAGCTTGGGACGCAGAGGCAGACCACTCCAGTGTCTCCTCATGTACCCTGAGTCCAGGTGAGACCCCCTTGTACACTGCATGTTCTCACTCGTGTTAGGTACTTTTGTATGGCTGGGACCAAAGTATCTCCCAGTCCCCAAACAACTTAAGGGAGGGAAGGTTTGTTCAGAGTTTCAAACCCTCATGGCAGGGAAGGCATGTCTGAGCAGCTCAACTTACAGAAGAGGCTGTTCACATTGTGGTGGATCAGGAAGCAGATATAGCAAAACTGCCAAAACCAGGGGCCAGATCTTACCTTTAAAATTTTTTTCTTATTTTTTATTTCATGTGTATTGCCTGCATGTATGTAAGTGCACCCATGTCCCGCAATGCCCATGGAGGTCAGAAGAGAGAGTTGGATCCACTAGAACTGGAGTTACACATGGTTGTTAGCCACCACGTGGGTGCTAGGATTCAAACCTGGGTCTTCTGCAACAGCCAGTGCTTTTAACTGCTGAGCTATTTTTTTTCGACTCCCAGATACCACCTTTAAAGGCTCACACCTAGGCTCCATACTTTTGCCAGTCAGGCCCAGCTTTACAAAGGCCCTATAGCCTCCCAAATGCACCACCAACGGGACAATAAGGTTCAAAATAAAAGCCTGTTAGGGACATGTCAGATTCAGACCTTAACAGTGTCCTCAACAAGGATGTGATGGCTGAAGCTGACTGGGACAAGTGGAGGATTCTCAAGTCAACCTGTCTTCTTTCAAGCAAGTCAACTGGCCTCCATTAAATCAGGAGCAAAGCAGGCCCAGGACTGGGACAAGAGGTGTCACCTCTTGTGGTCAGGTTTTGACACTGTCCCAGGCTCACCTTGGTATGGGGAAACACCTTTGTTCAGTGTCTGCACAGCCTGGCGGGTGTGTGGTGCTCAGGCAGGAAGCCTGCCATCTACGGCTAGCTTGGCACCCACCCAGCTTTGCTGGGCAATACTGCTCAGTGCTGCTTCCCTGCCAGCTCAAGGCCTGTTGCTAGAATCCAACACCTCAGACCTCCACTTACTCTGCTGACTATTAGGAAGGGTCTCCAGAGGTGGTAGATAGAGCCTCTCTTCCCTGAAACCCGGCTCATAGATGCCAGCCCTGGGGCCTGCTATGCTTGTCCCTGAGCTCACATCAGAGAAGTCAGCTGAGGCTGTGTGTGCTAGTTTCCCCTCTGAGCAAGAAACTCATGAGGGCAGAATCTTTCAGCATAGGTTGGGTGTGCTGGTTAGTTTTTTTCAACTTGACACAAGCTAGAGACACCTCAGAAGAGGGACCCTCAACTGAGGAATTTCCTCCATCATATGGGGCTGTGGGTCTGTCTGTGTGGTATTTTTTTGACTGCTGGTTGATTTAGGTGGGTCCAGCCCACTGTGGGTGATGCCATCCTTGGACAGGTGGGCCTGGGCTGTATAATAAAAGATGCTGAGCAACCTAGGGGAAGAAAGGCAGTAAGCAGCACTCCTTCATGGTTTCTGCTTCAGTTCTGTCTCCAAGTGCCTGCCCTGAGTGATGGGCTGGAAAAGGCCTTGTGTGCTCAGTGCTTAATGTTCTGTGGGAGTTTGGAAGATAAGACAGTTGAAAGAAATGCAGAGGATGGAGGCCTGGTTTGTAAAGTTTCAGAGTGAAGTGTGAGAGCCCTATACAGACTCTATCAGGGCCAATCGTGTGGTTATTTTGAATTGAGAATCTGTTGTTTCTGGTCAGCTGGGGCTGAAGAATAAACTATGATTATCAAGAGACCAGAACCACTGAAATGAAACCTTTGCTTTACTGGGACAATTGGTGTTGGTTAGCTGGGGCTAAAAAAAAAAAAAAAAAAAAAATCAGCTCTAATTGAGAGACCAGCATGAGTGAGGTGAAATCTTCTGGGAAGTATTTCCTCAGGGTCAGCACACAGAAGCTGTAGTTCATGGTGGCCAAGGCTACATCTCAAGACGGTAGCCAAACTTAGTAATATGTAAGAGTCTCCTGCCTGGTACTGGTTTTGAAGGAATGAAGGGGTCATGGAAAGCAATTGAGGTTTGGCACCATGAGGGGCCAGGAGTCCATTGTTGAAGGTGCAGCCTTAGTTGCAGCAGAGACCCCAGCATATTGGGGATGGTGGGATGACCATCAAAGATAGTGGCAGGGGTGGAGTAAAGCCAGCCTGAGCCCATGAGACAAGCTGTGTGTGTTACAGATGCCAGAGCCAGAGAAGTGGTGCTGTCTAAGCGCTTTGCAGCCAGAAGCTGTGACCGAATCCCAGACACCAGCCGTGGAGCTGCTGGACTTTGGTTTGCTTAAGTGTGCCTGGTTCTTCCCTTTTGAAGTAAGAAAGTATACAGTTAAGAGGCTTTAGATTTTTAAACAGGCATTGAGCTTTTGTGACGGAATTTTTAAAGACTGTGGGACTTCTAAGGTTGTGCTTTATCACTTGAGATTTGGGGAACAGAAAAAAGGACATGGCTTATAGTGATGTGTTTGTGTCAAGGTGACAAGCAGCCAATTGTGATGGTTAGTGTCTTAGCTTCTCTATTGCTGTGGTGAAAACACTGACCACAACCAACTTGGGGAGGAAAGGATTTGGCTTACAGATCACAATCCATCATCAAGAGAAGCCAAGGCAGGAGGAACTCAGGGCAGGAACCTGGGTCAGAGACCGTGGAGGAATGTGGCTTACTGACTTGCTCCGTTGGCCTGTGCTCAGCCTGCCTAGGAATGGCACTGCCTGCAGTGGGTTAGATCCTCCCACATCACTCAATAATCAAGAATTCCCCAACTGAGGTTCCCTCTCCCCAATGTGTCAACTTGACAACCAAAGCTATCCAGCACAGCTAGTTTTTATGAACTTGACACAAACTAGAAATGCCTTGGAAGAGGGAGCCTCAGCTGAGGAATTTTTTCCACCAGATTGACATGTGGGCCTGTCTGTGGGGACATTTTCTTGATTACTGGTTGATGTAGGAGGGCCCAGCCCACTGTGGGCAGTGCCATCCCTGAGCAAGTGGGCCCAGGCTGTATAAGAAAAGTAGCTGGGGGTGGGTAGAGAGATGGTTTAGCCGTTAAGAGCACTTGGTTGCTCTTGCAGAGGACCTAGGTTTGATTCCCAGCATTTACGTGGCAGCTAACAACCATCCATGACTCCAGTTCCAGGGACTCTGACACCCTCTTCTGACCTCCACATGCATTGCACAACACAGGTGCACCTACCTACATGCAGGCAAAATACACTCATGCACATAAAATAAAAATAACATAAAAAATTTTAAAGTAGTAATTGAGCAAGCCAAAGAAAGGAAGCCAGTAAACTAAGCAGCGTTCCTCCGTGGTCTCTGCTTCAGTTTCTGCCTCCAGGTTCCTGCCTTGACTTCCTGCCCTGATGTCCTTCAGTGATGGATTGTGATCTAGGAAGTATAAGCTGAAATAAACTTTTTCCTCTCCAAGTTGTTCTTGGGTGTTTTCATCATAGCTACAGAAAGCAAACTGAGACACCGGCGCAGTCCTGGACACTGATTGAGCCCCCGGCCCACTGGAGGCCACAGTGAAGGGTGCACACGCCCAAGATGTTTCATGTGCTTTTCAATCTCTGGGGGGCAGAGGAAGGAGAGTCAGGGGGTTCTCACGTCATTCATCCTTCCTTCACCTCACATCATTCTTTTTTGTTTTTGGAGATGGCCTCATGTATCCCAGGTTGACCTCAAACTCTCTATGTAACCAAGGATGGCTTTGAACTTCTGATCCTCATGTTTTCGCCTCTCAAATACTGGGATTACAGGTACATGCCACCACACCCAGTTTATGCAGTGCTGGGGACTGAACCCCAGGTATTTGTGTATGCTGGGCAAGCACTCTACCAATTGAGCTACATTGCCCCTGACACTTGAAAATTATTTACCAATTACTCTAAGTTTTGTTGTTTTGAGACAGGGTCTCTTGTAGCCCAGGCTGGCCTCCAGTTCTCTAGATAGCTGAGGATGACCTTGAACTTTTGGTCTTTCTGCCTCTACCTCTCAGGTGCTGGGATTTCAGTCATGTACCACCATGTCCAGTTTTTGTAGGGCTGGCGATCAAACCCAGGGCCTCATGCCCAGCCTTGAACTTCATTCTTTAACATCATACCTACAGTACGGCTGAAACCCAAATGGGACCCCACTCTTCCTGGGTGGGAGGAGAGAGCCCCCAAGAGTGGAGGGATTCTGCTGCTGTGTTGTGGACTCAAGACCACAGGAGTCACCCTCTCCCGCTCAGCATCTGCGTCCTCCAGCTTGACTGATGCTAAATTAGATGAACCTGGCTAGGTTGGTGGTCTACCTATCTAGGTAGGCCATGGTCACCTGTCAAACTATTAGCTGTCAGCTTGTGTAGCAATTTGCAAGAAGGCATGGTGCCCCCAGGGAAAGAACCCTGACCCCAGAGCCCTGAGTACTGACTTCAAGGCTTGGGATCTCTCACTGGGTGACTGAGTAGGCATTTGACCTTGCCTTGGCTCTCTGCTGGCACGCTCTGTATAACCTGCCATGCACCCTGCTGTAAGCTTGGGCAAGGAGAGCCCAGACACACGTTCTGTTCGTCAGGCCCCTAGGTCCCACTGACAGCAAGATCTAGCCTAGCCAAGCAGCCACCCTCTCCCATCACATGGTAGTTCCAAATCAGAGCACATGGTGTGGCTTTTTTTTTTTTTTTTTTTTTTTTTTTTTTTTTGCTTACTAGGAGCCTCTGATCTATGCTGAGCACGTGTTGGTTCTCAGCGGGTCCTCGGGTGGCCGCCTTCTACTTTTTAGCTTTGGCCTTCTTTCCTTTGTTGGCTTTGCTGGGCTTAGGATAGTCCTCAAAGGCCGCCTGGCCTGCAGTGATGGAGGGAAGCGGGGGCGGAGGAGCACCTAGGCTCAACCTCTTCTTCTGCAGCCTCAGGTCCAGGATGTTGAAGGCGGCCTGGATCTCGTACTGTAGCAGTTCCTGCAGGCACGCGATCTGGATGTGGATGGCCTCACTGACCAGGCCCTCTAGTGCCTGCGGGACACACCCCAGTGAATAGGCTGCGGACAGCTGAAGTCCTCCTCCCAGCTGGGGGCTCCCCACTCTGGTGGCCCTCGTCTGTGGCACACCTCCTGTCCCTCCCTATACAGCTCACTGCTTTCCTCCTCATCCCCTTCAGGTTCAGGGTGACTATCATTTGTTCTTTGTATAGTTCTCAGACCGTAGGCTAATGGCAGGCCATGCCTATATGGCCACAGCAAGCTCCTCCCCTTTCTGCCGTCTTCACATCTCACAGTCCTAGTGGCTTCATTGGGGGGACAGGAAGCTGCTTCAAGTGGGGTTATCCCTGGACCAGCCAGCCTCAGGAAGAATGGAAACTCAGCCCCCATCCACCATTCTAACCAGCACACTGACTCCTCACATTCCTGATCCCATAGTGTTCATGGCTCAGTTATCCAATGCCCAAGTTCCCTGTAGGGAGCAGACAGCAAGGGGGAGTTTATGCATGATATTTGGGGGTGATAAGGGAATATCCTGGGGTATGATGTTGCTTGTAATGTATTTCTTTGAAATTTCTTATTTTTATATAAAAATCTGTTACAGCATTTGCCCCAGAATATTCTCTTGGATTTTTTTTCCAGTATAAAAATGATTATCTTCTCCTAGATCTTTGGGGAAAATTGGACTCCATGAAGATGTGTCCTGTTTGCTCTTTGTTGAATGCCCCCCTTGGGCTCACTGCCAGGGCTCCCAAACTCTGCCAGGGAGCCCCACGGAGGATGGAGGGGAGCTGAAGGAACTGTTGGAGAATCAGGGGGTGATGAGGAGCAGGAGAGTGTGAGGCAGCCTGCCCCGGCCTGCCCCACTGAGTCTACAACATTCCACAACAAGGTTGCTGAAGACAGGCTGTCACTGAGGTTGCTGGGTACCCATCGAATATCTGTTGTAGTTATTGTTGCTTTGAGACTGGGTCTCATGTAGCCCAGGTTGGTCTCACTCAAACTCTGTATAGCTGAGAATGGCCTCAAACTACTGATCCTACTGCCTCTGCCTCCCAAGTGCTAGGACCACAGGTGTGTGTGGCCACACCCAGCTGCCTGCTCCAAGCCTTTAAGCTCGTAGGTCGCACCACATCTCCACTGCTACGTGTCAAGGAATTGAGTCCGAGGAGTATTGTCTGACCTGTTAGAGGACAATTTTTAGCAATTTCCCAGGCATTCTGAAGGAATATTGCACTGTCCTCTTAAGCTGACAACGCAGAAGCCAAATCAATGAACAAACTAAGCAAGAAATAACAGAACTCCATTGAAAGAGTCTCTATAACTCCCCCTCTCTCTGTGCCTTTGTAAGCCCCACATACACACATACACATATATACACAAAAGCACAAATACACACAAACATATGTACATACATATACACATGTACACACATTTATACACATCTATACAAACATATACATACATACACACAGAGATATACACACATATACATACATGCACATGCACACACACATGAACACATGCACATGTACACACATGTACAGAGACACACATGTACTCAAGGCATGCACACTGGCTTGTCTCTGTTCAGAGATGAGGCGACAGAGATAACATCAGTGCTTGTAGCTAAAGCTCAGCTCTGTGGAAGAGCTGGTGGTGGGGGCACTGGATCCTCAGGGGTTTATGGTTCCTGCAAGGGCCCAGTCCTCAATCTCTATCTCTCTGTCTCTCTGTGTGTCTATCTGTCTCTGTATCTGTCTGTCTCTGTCTCTCACACACACATATCTCTGTCTCTGTCTCTGTCTCTCCCACACACATGCTAGACTCCTCTAGCGCTCTCTGGGCCATCTGCTCACATGCCCACCCTGATCTATCCCCACCCTGGGTCCCCACAGATGCTGGCTCTGTCTGAGATGAAGCCTATTCGAACATTCTGTAGCAGGTCAGAGCTCCATGTCACATTCTGCCTTTCTCAGCGTAATCTGTCACCAATCCACGACAGTAGAAAGTGCTTGGACTTCAAAGTCATGAGGCCTCAGACCACTGTGAACTCTACTCCATGGAAGCTTGGTGGCTTTGAGCAAATGATGTTCTCTGACCCCACTGTGTTATCGCTAAAATGGGGACTTGAGTCTCTACTTGCTGGGATGTTGCACAATGGCATGCATGCAGAGCATGGGAGACACTAGATGCCATTGTCACCCTCTGTCCCCCTTCCCCACCAGTGCAGACATTAAAGGAGGCCTATGCCCTCCCTGATCTGTCCAACCTGGTGTTTCAGGGAGGGGACAGGCAGAGCCTCACCTCCCTCCTCAGTGTCTGGCGGGGCTGCAGCTCCACGGGTGTCTCCTCGCCCCCGAAGACCTTTTGCAGCATGTGCAACTGCTTCAGGCGCAATGTCTCCTTCAGCAGCAGCACATTGGCGTGCTCTTGCACCTCCGCTGAGCTCAGCTCGGCCACCCGCTGCTCATGCTTCCACAGGTCCCTGTCTACGCCCTCAGTCAGTGGAAGGGGCTGGGGTGGTGAGCACACTTGTACATGGGCGACTCTCAGGTTGACCTCCTGGTCCTGGCTCAGGAGATACTGGTAGAGTTTGTAGTGACGGATGAAGGTGTTGTGGAAATAGTCACAGAGGGCCAGCAGGTGAGTGATGTTGAATTGCTTCTGGTAATCCCGAAGCTTGTTCCCTAGGATCGTCACAGCCTCCGTGATACAGCAACCTGTGGATACAGTGTGAACTAAGGAGATCTGCTGGCTGTGAACAGATCTGACCTCAGAGCCCAAATCCTGACTGATTCTTTAGTGTCATTCATTAGCTCCCCAAAGCTATGGATTATGCCACATTTCCCTCTTTGCCTTGGCTTCCAGGAAGCTCAGAGCCAATCTGCAGTAAATTGTATTTGTCCCATTTTTGCCTACAGTATTATTTCACTCTTTTGTCTTCTAGCTCTTGAAGATCTACCTCAGCTGTACTTTATATTGTTTCCACTTCAAACTCCTCAGGAAGGAGAAGAGGGAATAATAAGAGGGTTCCACTATGTGTTCAGGTAATTTTGATCCTGGGGACTTGTGGGGCAGAGTTGGACAAATATCATTGACCTCACAATAGAGTCAGCTCTGAGGGTAGAACCGAGGTGGAGCTCCTCAGAGAGGGATCTATCCTTTCCTGTCCCTTCCCATGCCTGAACCCAGCTCTACTCCAGTGCAGTATGGGTGGGGACAGAGCTCACCTCAGCCTGGGACTTGACACAGGAAGTGGAGATATGGCTTAAGAACATGGCCCTCGCCCAGTGAGAACTGGTTCTCACAGATGCCATGGCTAAACACTGTAAACTTCACATCTCTCGTTCCCTCCTCTGAAGGGTGGGAGCTTGGTCAGGAGACCACCTGTCACACACACACACACACACACACACACACACACACACGCACACACACACGCACACGCACACAGAATCCTGGTCTGCTTAATGGCCATGGAGGTCAAGTGCTGGATGCAGGCACTTGGCTTCTTCAGGAGTGGGGTGGATCCTCTGCATAGCCCTTCCTCCTTCCTCGTTTTCTCTGTACACCCTTCCCTATCCCCTCAACCCTAGAGGAAACTTCACTTCTGATTGGCCCCCTCCTGTGTCTGAAGGCAGAGGTAACTTGGCCTCTCCTCAAGGGTTGTGTTGAAAGTCTTCCACCCTGGTTCCACACTCACTTTTGGCTCCCCACAGGTTGCCTTGCTCTGTGTGGAGTACTGACCATCATCTCACGTCTCTGAGGACCAGGGGCCAAGGCGGTGTTGCCTTGGAAAATGATAATGGACAGAGCCCTGCTTTGCTGAGAGCTTCCTTAGCACACAGTGGGGTGGCGGGAGATTGCTTCATGCATTTTTAACTCTCTGTTGCTATGACCAAATACATCACAGAAACAAACTTAAGGGAGGAAGGGTTGGTAATATTTTGGCTCAGAGGGATTTGTCTGTCATGGCAGGAAAGGTGTGAAAGGCAGGGCAGTGAGCCTCTGCTGTGGCCATAGACATGTAAGGAGGACACTATTCACACTGTGGTGGACCAGGAAATAGAGCACAGGGCGGGAGCAAGCATCAGATGCAAGCTTCAAAGGTCCTTAGCTAACTGCCATCAGGGCCACCTGAAAATCACACACCCTCTTAAAATATTGTCACTCATTGGGAAACAAACATTCCAAACATGAGCTTTTGAGGACATTTCAGATTTAAACTATACCACATGGACTCCCCAGGAGGAGGAAGAAGGGAGGTGTCCACAGGCTCAAGCCTAGGACAAGCTAGAGACCTCTGGGCAGGCAGGCTCCTTCATTCAGGGTAGAGGAGCAGGCTTTGGGTGAGAACCATGCTTGTCTCAGGGGAAGGCCCTGGCTCACAGGCCTGAGACACTTTGTGCCTTCCCAAGGCCTAGGACACAGGACCTTAGAATCCAGTGTGAAGTTGAGGACAGTGTGAGTTGAGGACAGTGTGAGGTTGAGGACTGTGTATTTACCACAGACTTGTACAATCCTGTGGGCTGATGTGTACGTGTGCTACAGCCTGCTGCAGGGGAGGAAGCCACAGATACTATGGGAGTGAAAGCACTGTCAGTCACTGTGAGAAAAGTCTCCCACCCTCCGTCCCTCGCTTCCTTCCTCCCTCTGTCCCTCCTTCCCTCCCTCCCTCCTCTTCTCCCTCTCTTCCCTCCCTACTTTTCTTCTTTCTATCCTTCCTCTCTTCCTTCCTTTCTTCATCCCTTCCCCTTTCCTCCCTCCCTCTCTTCCTTCTCCCCCCCAAGTTCCTCACCCCCTCCTTTCCTTTTCCCTCCCTCCCTCCCTCCCTCCCTCTCTCTTTCCTTCCCTCCCAAGGTTAACTTGTCAAACTGTGGCTGACCCTGTGAACTGTCACTGTCTGTCTCTTATGAGCTACTCTGCTGGTGCTGACAGCACTGAGACAAAGCAAACACACCAAGTGTTGGTGGGCGAGGCCGTAGCAGGTAGCCAGGGTGCTCAGCAAAGAAAAAGCTGGACCAGAGAGCACTGGGGCGAGAATGGGTCCTCCTGCAGAAGGAGATGGGGCTGGGCATGTGGCTTTGTCCCAGGCAGAGGGGCGCAGAGCCAGGCAGGGAGGGTCAGCCCAGTATGGAGAGGGAGAGCTGGAGGAACAACAGTGTCAGGTGGAGGCAAGAAGAGACCCCTAAATGTGCTGCAGATGGCAGCAACCATTGAGTGGGGAGGGACCCACAAGCAATGCTCAGCAACCAGAGCCAGGTGTTTGGGGGCATCTGAGCAGGTTCGTGGCAGGGCAGGAGGTGAGCTGAGTTCTTAAGGGTGGGGTTGGGGACACTGTGAGCAGGAACAACAGGCTGTGCTGGGTGGAAAGAAGGATGTGGACTCTGGAGGAAGGGCTGGGAGCAAGTGCTGGTCTGGATCACCAACCAGAGGCTCTTGACAACTGCCACTCCTGAGAGAGGGACTGTGTCAGTGCCTGGTGTCTCTTGGTGTCCCATTCTCACCCAGAGCCGGGTGTCTGAGTATGTCAGACCCCTCCACAGCAAGCACAGTGATGGTCAGCACCATCATCCCTGGGAATACAGAGAGATGAGCATGAGCGAGAGGCTGAGGAGCCACTGGTCCCTTATGTAGTTACTGGCCTGAGTCCAGGGCCAGTTCAGCAGCTCACATTGCTGTGTACTACTCTGCTGTGGCTTGCCCCAGCAGCCCTGACATATCACCTGCAGTAGCTGCTTTTCCTGTTGTGACATGATACCTGGAAAAAGCAACTTAAAGGAGAGTTTGTTTTGGCTCACAGCTTTGGTCTATCACAGTGCAGAGGAGTGGCTCCATCAGTGGCCCCAGGAGCATGTAGTAGAGGATAGCTCATACAGTAGAGGCTCAGGACAAAAGATGAATGGCATTAGAACCAGGGTGGGCATCACCTAGTGACCACAGCCTTCAAAGCAGGGCCATAATTGGGGACCCAGTACTCAAACACGAGCCCATCCCATGGGTGACCGTCCATATTCAAACCCTAATGTTACCCCACTTCTGGCCTCCCTCTCTGCATTCTGCCATTCTTGTGTTCCTTAAACACACACACACACACACACACACACACACACACACATTTTTTTCTTTTTTTCATCATTCTTTTTAAAAAGATGTATTTGTTTTCAGTCTATGTGTATGAGTGTCTTGCCTCTATGTATGCAAGTGCACGACATGTGTGTATACCCACAGAAGCCAGAAGGGGGCATCAGATCCCCTGGAACTGGAGTTACAGATGGCCATGCGGGTGCTGGGAACCAAACCTGGGTCCTCTGCAAGAACAATCAGTGTTTTTAACTACCAAGCCATCTCTCCATTCCTCTCTTCTTTCTTTTTTTAAGATGTAAACAATGCTATTATATTGGGTTACATAAGGTTATTTTCACTCAAATATATACTGTCCTTTGAGCATATACCCTCCATACCCCCCTGCTCTTTTACCCTTTTCTTTGTTCCCCAATTGTTTCTACTTTAATGTCATCTGTACACATACAATTTTATGACTCTGTAACATACACATGGATTGGTGGAACAGAACAGAGGACCCAGATATAAACCCATGCAGAAAAGATTCCAAAAATATACATTGGAGAAAAGACAGCCTCTTCAACAAGTGGTGTTGGGAAAACTGGATATCCACATGTAGAATGAAACTAGAGCCCTATCTCTTACCCTGTATGAAAATCCACTCTAACTGGGTCAAGGGCACATACTTTCAATGGGACAAATATATCTGTGCTATTACCATAGTCTGTGGCCCAGCTTGACCAACAGCCACAATACTCAACAATGAACTTCTCTCTCTGGGTTTTCCTGGGTGTCATACACATCCTGGTTGGTGGAGGGAAAGATCATGCCTGCTGGGAGCCCTACACTGTGGCTCTCAGCCTGCATTCTAGAATCACCTGGAACTTTCTAAGAATGCAAAAATGCTTCTCTCTACATATATATAGCCCCATCTTAATCCAGGTGAGAACTAGGACTGGTTTCTGGGCGGGGACTGGTCCCCAGGGCTCCTTCTGGAATTGCTTCCTTGTGTCTGGTATCAGAGCTACTCTCAACCTCAGGCACAGGGGCCACCAAGCAGGGTGAACATCAGGAAGACAGAGCTTCTGCTCTGCCCAGTGATCAAGTCACTCCCACTTGGGTCCCCAGTCCATCAAGTGCTGCAGGGTCTCTTCTTGCACTGATGTGAGCCTTGGGCTTCTCAGATTTTTAGGCATGGTGACTGATTCTATTATGTTTTTGAAGAGTAGTGATGCCTCACAGTGGCTTCTTTGAGACGCCCCAAAGTGGCTTCTTTGAGGATACTCACATATACTTCAAATTACCTAAGAGCTGAAGACACATATAAATATACCTGTGGTGCAAGCCAGGCCCAGGCTGAGAAGGTCCTGGAGCACAGAGGTGCTGAAAGGGGAGCAGGGTGAGGTGTCTGGGTACTGAGCTGTGGGACCACTCACCAGGGAGGCAGGACAGGTAGGGGATTGATTTCTGCCATGGAAGGGAGTTTAACAGAATGATATGAGGGAACCCACGGGGTGGGGGTTAGGGGGTGGGGAGGTGGGAAGACAAGAGGGATGGACATGGGTGGTACGCAGAGTGCATGTGGCAGTGTTCATGGGTCTACAGTGAGTCTTTGAAAGGTAGGTGGGTCCTGTGAGTCCAGGCTGGGGACAGA